TTCTGATTTGAAGATTATTCTGCCGTTTTGTTCTCAACTTCTCATTAAGATATTTCAGGACCGTGATAAAGAGGGAAACACTTTGGGTGTTTGAACACTGACAACTCTCAAGCTTCACCTCACCTTTCCCTTTCCCCCCCATACCTGGGCTAGCCCCTGCAGGTAGGAATTCTCACCCCAGGCCCTGGCCACAAAAAAGCTAAAACCAACCAAACTGTCTCACTATTGCCATTTGGACTGACTTGTACCTGCTCTATCTATTCTCACCAGAAAATCCCATGATGTGATAATTTTTGTCACATCTAAACCAGTTTTGGGTGGGAGTTTATCCCACACACTGCAGGGCAACTACTAAACAAGAACCCCAAAACAATGTTTTAAAGATATAAGAATGAAGTATAGCAAAATGATGTACTTTTGGAAAGAAGGATTCCATTGGCATTGGTTAGGGTAGAGGTGGAAGTGCTTTAACAGAGACCCAAAATAAGAGTGGCTTACTTGTTTCTCTGGGGTCCTAGGTGGCTGCTAGGAGGTCATCTAGCAACTTAGCTGGTGGGTCAGCTCTACTATCTTCTCCAGGTGCCTTCAATCTCTGGGTTTAAATTAGCCAGATTCATTGTTGCATTTTCCCATTGGAGAGGAAGTGGAGTGCATTTTTTTTTTTTAAGCAAGTGAGGCAGATCGCTTCTAACCACGTTCCATTGCTAAGAATTTAGTCACGTGGCCATACCTAGCCAAGGCTGCTGGTAAATGCATTCTCTAGATGTCTAGATGGGTGGCCATGTGCCCAGCTCAAACTACTGAGACAGAAGAAGGGGGAGGGGAGGGGAGAGAAGGGAGGGAGTGGGAGAGAGAGAATGAATGAATATGAGAACATGAGAATGAATGAGTTGTGGAAAACAATTGGAATCTACCATGTCTTCCATTCAATGATTTTACCTCTCCTAACTGAATCCAGGAAATAGAGGACATTAACATTTGCTGTTCAAAGGTCTAATTGCAGACAACATTCAACTCCCCATAAACCAGTAACAATACCATAGTTGGCAATATTCTTTAAGTCTTTTACTTTGAGCAGCAAATATTTTCTTTTAAAAATTTATACAGGAACAAATACTCATTCATATCAATATTCTGGGCCTGAAATATTTTGCTATTTCAACTCGAGATTTTGAAAAAATATCTTAAGAGTAACTGTTTAAGAGTTCAGGTTGATCAGTGAAAGGACTGTGGCAACACCTAAGCAGAGAGCCATCCTTGAAGAAAAAGGTTTGGTGTTACTGCTCACACACAGTGTGGCTGTCTTTCTCATAGTGAGTAGTGCCTGGTCGGCCCTATCAAGAAGAGACCAAATTGATTTGCTTCAAGACAATAAGGACAGATGGAGGTTGGGGTGGGGAGTACACAGTAGAGCTGGAACAAGACTGGAATTGAGATGATAACTGTTGATAAAATACTGGATGATGGATGATGGATATGTGAGGTTCCTTATACAACTTTGTTTACTTTTATGTTTAAGAAATTTCATAAAAAGTTTTTATTGTTTTGCTCATTTATTTTTAAGAATTGAATCAAATTTACTCAGGCCAGCATCAATCTTGTCTATAGGGAACAGGTCTGTTCTCAGACACACTGAGAAAACTTGGTTGATGAAACTTCTCAAGAGTTATTCAAATCAAACTTAATAAAACATTTTCTTCCAATTTTCATTATAAAGCTTTTGAGTTTCTGCAACAAAAATATTTTTCATAAATTAGGTCATATTTTAATGGAGCCGATGAAAATTTGGATTTAAACAATGTGAAAGTTGCTTAGAAGTGCACTTAAAGATGTGAAATCTTTCATTTATGATTGAAGTTATTTTATCTGAGCCCTTTGCCGTAAGCTTTAAAGAGTGACATAATATAAAAATTTCTTACTTGAAACGGTAAACTACAGAGCAGACATATATTTCTTTGACTAACCATGTAAAGTTTACCATCAAGTGTTTACCATTAAAAAAATGATAGTTAAAAATTTTTCTTTTAGGATACTGATTTTGTAAAATCCCATTTTGATGTTTCTTTTTAATCCTGTCATTTCAAATTTCATTTGATACTGAAACAAAAAAATGTATTATTAAGTAATGCCAAGGAGACACAAAGTATCTTCAGACTAAACCAGTGGTTCTCACAGAGGGACAACTTGCCTCACCTGCAGTTTCAAAGGACATTTGGCGGTCTTGGGACTTTTGGGTTGTCCAAATTGGGGGAACTACTTGAATTTACTGGGAAGGGGCCAGTAGTGCTGCTAAACATCATATAATGCATAATACAGTCCCCCCACGTAAAATGATCTGGTCCAGGAAGTCAGTAGTGTTGAGACTGAGAAACCCTGGACTCATGAGAGAGACAGAATGCCTGGGGATGGTCACTGCAGTTGCCATGCCATGGAGCAGACATTGTTTTGCCTAGCTGGAACAACCCCACGCGTGGGGAAAGCCAGCAAGGACGCAAGGATGCATACTTGTATGCACGTAATCTAGGTTATCCTGTGCATTTTATCATCAGAAATCATGCTCACACCGTGATATTTCACTTTCTTGCTTTTAATCTTTTGTGACGTTTTATTGACGTGCTTACTGAGTTATTCAGTTATAATCTGCTGCAATATTGGACTTTCTAAAGCATTTAGATGATTTGTGGGCCCAGGACAATAGAATAAAATCCTGAGATGTAGGGGAAAGAGGGGCTGCGATAGGGGAGCATCTGAGTGGGTGTTTGGAAGCTGAGTCACCTGGGTGGGGGCACTTGGATGAAGTGAAAGGTCATGAAACTGAGGGAGCTGGGGCTCCATGCCCTGCCAACGGGCCAGCAGGAGGCCCAAGGGACCAGCTAGGCTGCACATAGGCTTACTTCCCTCATCTAATTCTAAGGAACTGTGAATAGGCTCCTCACGTTAGCTGCATGACTGCCACTAAAATTCTCCAGTGGGACTGTCCGTGAAGCTTCCTTCTAGGAGTGGTGGTGGGAGACAGAGAGAGGATTCATTGTGCCCCAGGGTCATAGGAACTTTTGAGTGACAAGAATAGACAGACATTTAGCTACACTCTTGACTTTGATTTTAACTAAAAATTAGTGTCACAGGAAAACAGTAGCCTTGCTATGGAAGTGTATTCCTTTATTCTTTCTCAGTGGCTCTCAACCATGGGTGCACCTTAGAACTAAATGAGTAGCTAAAAAAAAAAAAAAAATCCCAGCACCCAGGCCTTACCTCAGACAAACCCAATCAGAATCTCTAGGGCAGTAGATGATGGAAAAAACGAGGATGGTACATCAAGAACAGCATGTTAACAGAACCTCTAATTTTGGGAAATGTGTGCTCTGAAAGTACTGATTTTCTTTTTTTGGGGGGTGGAGGGGAAGATGGGGGATATTGAAGTTTATTTAAAGATTATGTTAAGAATTGTCATCTCTGAGATACATTTAAAAATAATAAAATGCAGTTCTCTTTAATGCATAAGGGAGTACTAAGGATTAACAAATTAGGGGGAAGATATCAGAGGATGAAAGCAATATTAATTTTGAGGCTATTACCTGAAATACATGGCAACATGTTGAAACAGAAAGATCAGGAAAGGTCACCAGTGAATTTTAGAGTGACCCTCACTGAATACCAAAAATGTCCTGTTTTTAAAATTAAAATGGTTCCCAACTTTAATCTTCTAAAAAATGAAGATAGAAATGAGTGGGATGAGATTTCTGATATCAAAATCAATGAAGAAGAAAACTGGTTTATGTGTTTGATCTATCACTGAACTGACGTCAAGTCCAACACAAGAACTACACTTAAATGCTGGGAAGAATGAAGGTCTTCAGCTAGATAGGAGAGGTTGTAAGAAAATTGTTTGGGCACAAACTTTTCCATGGGTAAAAAAATAGCTTTTTAAAAATGGTTGAAGTCAGAAATGACAGTTTTCATGAAAGTCAATGTTTGCAAAGAAATCCATTGGTCAGTAGCTTCTGGCTTAAGATCCATTTCTACCTTAGAGTGGATTCCATTCATTCACAACATTTACACCAAAGTACGTTGTTGCCTTAGTTTCCCTTGTGTAAATTTTCACTGTGCCTTACCTTGTAGAAATTCTGGCCCAGGAAATCCAGCCTTCCGTGAGAGGACATCCTGGGGCCTGGAAGAAAATAGCCCCTGCAGGCTTTGGAGTGCACGACTTTGTATGCTCTGCACAGAATTATTTTAAAGAACCTCCATGAAGTACGATTACAAGTTTATTTGGAATCATTTGAAAGGTGCTAACTTTGGCAACAAGTTAAAAAATAGTAACCAAACAGAACTGTCCACTAAAAAAAGGGAGTATTATTCCTCAATAAAAATAATAACCAAGAGGAAAGGTAATGAAAACCAAAGCTCTGTTTTTCTTTAGATGGTAGTGAGTCAGTAGGTACAGTTGTAAATTTTCTACACAAACTTCACCTCATTCTCTTGGTTATATACATATAGTCTACCACTTTAGGTAGTGATTTTTTTAAAAAATGAGTTGGTATATATAAAATAAATTTTCTAAAAAGTTGGTTATATGTTTTCTAACATGGGTAAAAATGGATGATTGACTCAATTAAGTTTTCACTGCTTATTGAAAAGGATGTATCAAGCATTATGTGAAAACAACATTTAGCAAAATTGCTGAAGTGCCTGTTTCTCTACTGACAATTCCACTTCCTGAAGTCTATTCTTTTTTCCAACAAACTCACTATGGAATGTTTCTTCAACACAGACTAAACTGAACCAAAAATATGCGTACTTCTATAACCAAGTATAGTAATTAACACAGCAAAATCCCATACATTTATGGGACATGTTAACCCCAGGGTAAAGTTATACACAATGTTCAATTGAAAGCCCTGAATGAGTAAATAACTACAAAATGAACTTTTTTTTTTAAATGAGTAGTAGGTTGGCATGGTTAAGTTTAGTCAGTTAAACACATTTCATAAATTGTTTATTTGCGACATTGAATCCATTTACAACACTTGGTGGGTTTTCAAGGCCAGGCTCCACTGGTGTCACCACATGTGCAGTGGGCACCTGGCACCCTGTGTACCCACCCACGATGGACACACCATTACTGTTTGCTGACCCAGCACAGTGAGGTCCCACGAGTCCATTCCTGATTCCAGCCAGTTTTGCATGTCATCATTTTCCTTCATACTCCAATACCTCATCGATTTACACACTGTTTTTTTTGTACTACCTTAAAATTCATGCAAACAGAACTTTCCCATGTGTAAAATGAAAATGCACATACTGTCAGTGCTATTTTACTAACTGAAGAGTCTTTACCCATTTTAGGATTGGGCTATATAAAACTCTGCTTGTAATAAAAATTGAAGACAACTGTGACAAAAATAAGGATATATTAAAATAAATCAAATGATATACAATACTGTAATTATTCTGATACAGAATTTTACACAGCAATATTGATACAGGTACAAATGGCAGGATGCCAAGCAATCCATTACAATAGATCTTTTGGTTACAAATAAAGTTTAAATTACAACAATACCGATTTAAAAATGTGCTATGCCAGATTAAAATCAATACTTCCTCTTCAAGTGACATTTTCTGGAACATCTCTAACTATGAATCTTTTTTTTACAAAAATTAACTGTATAAAAAGGGAAACAAATGTAATATTGTATTGGAAAGTCTTTTTGTAAAATAAAACCCAAATCTACAAATCTGGACTAAATTGACTTTCCATTCCTTCTGTCCTCACACCAAACAGCAAACCTGAAGTCCACTTGCACAGACAGATTAAATGAAAGTTTAGCAGCCCTCCAACCTCTGTTCCTTATAAGAGAAGTTTGGAGTGTCCAGTTCAACTACACACTCTTTACACTGTTTAAGTATCAGGCAAAACGCTGGATTCTCATCAGTGATTCTGTCAGCAACCTAAAGGAATTGAACGACCCCTCCCCCCACCCCCTTTAAAATGCCAGAGGGGCAGGGAGAAAAATGGCAAAGAATAAAATGAGGTCCTTAAAATTCTTTGATGAGACACAAGAGACCAAAGGGTGAATAAGATTATGTGTGCAGTGGAGCAGGGATGGGAGGTGGATGGTTTAAGAAATAAAGTTTCTGTAACAAAATATTAAATTCTTATTCTCCTAATTTTTGTGAAAATGGATGAGTTATTGGCATAAAGAAAACCAAACCAAATCAAAACACAAACAAGGAAATGAGAACCGGTTCCATAATGCCTTGCACGTGACGTTACGCTTCTATCCTACATGAAAATCCTCTTTCAAATAAAAGAGGTCATTTAAAAATCAAAGATAGAAATGTTACTTAGAAAGCTGAGAAAGCAATAGCATTTTTCTCTGGCATATTATTTGTTTGGCACAATCACAAGTAAATAGACTTAACAGGTATCATGTGGCTGTTCACATTTAAAGTTTCTACTCTAAAGTGATTACTTTCGGGTTAAACAAACAAATCGGTTGAATGAAGCCCGTAAACAGGCCAGGCCCGGCATACATGGACACGTGTGATGCATCCTCCGCCCCAGGAAGGGAACCTAAAATACAAAAGAAAACCGACTCAGAGCAGGAAATGTAAAGAACAAAAACAAAACTATTTTTGGGGAAATCTGTGAATGGCTAGCATTTGAGTGTTAACTATTCATCAGGAGATATGCTCAGCACTTTTATGTATTATCCTTTTCCATCCTTAAAACCACTCTTAAAATGCAAATACTTGAATTATATCCATTTTGCAGATGAGAAACTGAGGCAGAGAGATTCGTAACTTGAGCAAAGTCACATATCCAGAATATCAAGCTTGGCTGGCAGTTGGACCAGAAAGACTAAGCTTTTACCATCAAGCTATACTGCCTTTCATTTTTTCCCATTTTAACTTAATTTTTTTATGGTGTCCTGCTACTGAAGCTCCTTAAACCCTTTTGCTGTGATGGTTGGATATATCCGAATGAATATATCTGAAATTTTTATACATAAAGATAATGTCATTTATATACAAAGCAGCTCAAATTATTATTAAATGCATAAAATAGTCAAAATATCAACTTTTGGTTGTTGTGGATTTCTGACACATTTTGAAAAAAAACACCTTGAAATCAATTAACGCAATGAAAGAGTTAAGAAGAGGAAAACACTATGGGCGTGCCCACATTATATAGATATTATATAGACATAATAAGCAAAGATAAATTCACTGACAATGAGCAATATATCAATTCACCCATTTGCACACAGATGTCAGAGGGATCAAAATTCCGAGGGAGGAAAATTAGTGAAGGAGGCAAGCTGGATTTGCTGAGATGGAACAAACCAAACCCCAGCCTAGGGAGAGTCAGCAGTGAAAGGCCAGCTTCATTCTGAAAGGCATTCGACTGATACTTCTAAGAGCCTTCCCATGCCACCAGGGAAGCCGTGTGGGGATGGTCACCAGCAGCAGGCAGTGGTTCTCTGTGCCAGGGGTAAGGGGAGCACACTCCAGATATGGACGCTTTCCAGAGGTGAAGAGCAAAAAGCACCCTTCCTCTCCTGGGAATGGTGCCCTCTTGAGAATCCGCCCGCTCTGCCAGTTACGTGGACAAAGTTGAACACCAGGCCTAGAGGCAGTGAGAGTCAGTGGATTGGGATGGCAAATTACTCACATCTGGGTAATGTGAGAGAGGCAAGCTAGGACACTCATGCCTCAGGGATTGTTCTACAGTTTACACATGGCAGGAAAATGCATCCTTCCAGTTTCCCAACTCAAATGCGTTATTTGTTGTCATTCTAGTGTGTTTCTTATTCTATTCCACCAAGAGGCCAGCCCACACCAATGATCTGTCCTTGTGAAAAACCTGAGGATGCATCTTCCAGATGCTGCCTAAATACAAGAATTACTTCATACATAAAAAAGGAAAGAAAGAAAGTCTGTCTGCCGACAGTGGCAGAGCCATTTCTAACCTTATTTTTGGGTTGAACTGATAGAGCACACCCAACTCCATGACAGTCCATCAATGGTTGAGGCTAATTATTCTGGGTGTTAACTTTGAGTGGTACCATGCTCATATTCTTCTTACCTCTTTTTTCCTTTTTCTTCTCTTCCTTTTTCCTTTCCTGCCTTCCATTTCCAAAATGGTTCTGGAGGGGCCAGGGAGATGACTGAGATCAATAAATACAAAGGGAAGAAAGGGATGCAGTGGGAAGGCAGGGTATGTGTGGGGCCAACAGGCAGAGCCACCCCACTGAAAGGGTGGTGCCTTCAAGGCTCTAACAGCCGTGTCCACACACGGGTACCATGGCCATCGGCACCATGCAGGCTCATGCTCAGAATGGTTCTGTCACTGTGTGTGCCAAAACATACATGGATGGCTGTCTCATTTGTTGTCACTGAGACTATGTCAGAGAAGGTGGGTGCGGCTGGGAGGGACTGGACAATTACAAGTGGATAGTGTGAGAAGTTATAACTCATGAACCTATTATCTGTTCTGAGGCCTCGAGAGCTTTCTTTTTGCCAAGCGTAAAAATACAGAATGGGCCCTACTGGTTCTCAGCTGGGGGTGATGCTTCTCCCACTCCCCCAGGGGACATCTGGCAATGTCCAGAGTCACAACTGAGAAGGCAGTACTGTTGACATCTGTGGGTAGACGCCAAGGCTCTTGCTAAACATCCTGCAATGCACAGGACAGCCCTCCCAGCAAAGAATTATCTGGTCCAAAATGTCAGTAGGGCTGAGGTTGAGAAAAACAAACAGAGGCAGCAATCTCCAAGGAAAAGGAGCATGGAATATGGGAGCTAAACCTATAGTAAGCATGTCACTGTTATGCATGGAAAATACCAAGCATGTTTCTTTTATTCATTCATTCAACAGATACTGAGTGTCCCTAACATATCTCTATTTTAGGCCCTGCGAATACAGCGCTGAACAAAACTAAGGAGGGCCCTGCACATCACAGAGCTTAACGTTTAATTATGAAAGATACATATCCAGTAATATAGTTCCAGCTACTAATAAGTGCCCTACTGGTCCTGATGGTCCTGTGCATTGAGACGGTGTGGTAACTCTTTGGCCTGTCACATGGGCTGACAGCATCAAAAGTAGACGACGGAAAAGAAAAATAACACTGGTGGCCTGCCATGGGCCAGGCCTCCTAATGCATCGTGTATGAACGTCACATTACACCCACGTGCCAGGTTTTCTCCTCATTTTGGCTCAAGTCAAGTGGCTTCCTCTTAAGATGAAGTAATGTCCCTGACTGAGGTCACACCCAATTAGAAAGGGAAAGTGTCATAGTCAAACCCAGTCCCACTTTCTTCCAAATTTTGCTCTCTTCTCCAATACCACCACGCCCAGACTCCAGGCTCTTTGAAGAAGAGGTCTGTTTTATTTATGAGCACAAAGCAAGCACTTAGTGTGGTACATAGGAGACACTCAAGAAAATATTTGTTAAATGCCTGTCTCCTTCCCTCACCCCTGCCCCGACCACAGGCTGCAACCTCCCTGAAGGTGAAGGGACAACCATCTCAGGTCCTGTGGCCTTCCCTCACTCTGCACACCACCTCCCGGCATGGAGGAGGCCCAGCATGACTCACGCCATTGAACCGGAGATGGATTTAGTGTGAAGCAAGGGAAGCTGGAGGCCCTTGCTCCCACGGGCCCCTCCAGGGACTGGAAGGCACCTCAGCGATGTTTTCATAGGCCATATGCTTTTGTGAAACTCTAAAAATATCTCTATATTATTCTTTCTCTTACTGAGGGCACTAAGACTGTGTAAGCCTCAACCTGGCTCTGCCCCAGCTGACCTCCACACAATGACTAGGCTATAGGGCAGGCCTCTCGTTAACCGGATGCCCTTTCCTTATTCTAATGAAATCCAGCTGCCTTTTCCAGAGTCCAGTATGTGTCTCTCCCCACCTCCCTCACGCCCTCATTAACTGTATCAGCCAGAAGCAGCTTCCCTCCTCCCCTTTCGTCTGAGAGCTCCTGGTGACAAAGACCACGATTCCTAAGATGACATGCTCGGGACATACTTGCTAATTTCTTGGCTGACCCATTCACTTCTAGAGCTACATGCGTTGTGTGACAAGCCTAACAGGTGTGTGACAGTCACCAATGCATGAGCTCATGCTTACAGAAGATGCACAGTCATTAGTCCTGACTTAATGGTTTACTTTAGACGCAGCTACATGCTCAGTCCACTGTCTCTATTAGCCTAGAATTCCAGACAGCAAATTCTAGAAGTTAACAAGGCAGAGCATCCAGCACTTAGGAGAAGGACTGTTTCTTATGCATTTGCAGCACTTTTTAAAAGAGGAAATAGCACTGATACAAAACGAAAGTATTGTTCGTGATTCCTCTTAAAACAGAGTCAATTATGTTAAAGAAGGTAATATAATGGGATACATGAACAAAAGCCTCATGTGACATTAAAAAAACTGGTCCTATTATAATTTTATCTATAATAAAATCAGTTTTGTTACAATTTTTTTCAATAGAGGTACATAGTTTAAAAAAATCAAATGGTAAAATAGTGCATAATAAACTAAAAGTCCCACCCTCCCACAGCTTCTGGTTTGAATCATTATGAAAATGCTATGTATCTTAATTTGGTAAAGTTTTCAATTGTTTCTTCAAATGTTTTTGGAATACATATACATTCATATAGCCCTAAATAATGAAATGATTTATTTTTCTTCTGTTTGTGAGGAGAGGGCTCACGTGGCGCCTGGGATGACGGTGCCACCCTGACACTGCTTGAGCCTTTGCTGCACTGTGCCTTCGGAAAAGTGAAGGAGCACGGGATGGTGGGTTGGCCTCATCGCTTGTGTGCAACTGCACTTGGATTAGGGGAGCTGTCGGTATACAGGCCTTGGTCTCTGGACTAGGGGGGGCATAAATGATTTGCAAAAAATGGTAGCTTCTGTGCATCCAGGGATCCCCACATACCTTGGTTCTCATCTTTGGCAGGCACAAGCACCCCGTGTGGTTGAGAGGGCAAAAGAAGCTGTGTGCCTGGGTAGCTGCTGAGCTCCCAGTGAGGTAAGGATGCTGTCTTATACTGTGTCCTGTAGGCTAGGTTAATGTACTGTTAGACCAACGGTACTCAACCAGGGTGAATCCTGTTACCCAACCCCACCCTCCAAACTCGCCCCCAAAGCTGCCGGAGGACATCTGTCATAGTCTGAAGACATCTGGGTTGCCACAACTAGGTAGCCAGTGGAGGCGAGGGGTGCTGCTAAACATCCCACAATGCACAGGACAGCCCCCACAGGAAAGAAGTCTCTGACCCAACATGTCAACAGTGTCCAGGTCGAGAAGCCCTGTATCACACTAAGACATATTTACGTCTTGAGAGTCTCTCTGCCAATGAACCTGCAATCACAGCTACGATGCTGCCCCTAGAGATCAAAAACAGACAGTGGTTCTTGACATCTGTGATAGGAAAGATAGGCAATTAGCATAGTGTGCTTCCTTCCACCCATCTTTTACTACATTTTGTAGTTAAGTTATATTTTAGTTGGTATTTTCAAAATTTTTGTACTCCATTCTGAAATTGTAATTATGCTTACAGTGTTTCATCATAGGTCAATTCTAAAATAAAAACAGGTAATACTTTTTTAAATCTTCCATTTTCTTTTTACATAAACAAAAGACCCAAGCTTTAATGTGATTTTTTTTTTCTTCAGAAAAGGAAAACAAACGTATTGGTCAAGTTTTAAGTACACCTTAAAGCCAAAACAAAACAAAACAAACTGGTGCTAAAAATGTTGACATAAAAAGTGGAGAAAAATAAAAAAATAAGATTAATTTTTTTTCGAGGAAAAAACACAATTACCATATTTTGCCATGCATAATGTGCATCCACATTTTTGGCCCAAACTTTCAGGGGGAAAAAATCTTTTGTTATAATTTTTTGAATTCCAATTTTTATTTGTTTATATTTAGGTACTTGTTTTTTGTATTATAAAGAAATTTTAGCATTTATTTTTAAATATATTATGGTACAAGAAATTTTATGTAACAAATAATTACAAAACATAAGAACAGATACAAGGTACAAGGGATTTTATGTACCAGAAACAAATTTATGATATTTATACATCATAGAAGGCCAGGAACTCTTCGTCGATGCAAGTTCATTGTAAAGTCAACAAAACTGATTATTGTATTCCAGGGTATTATTTTTCACACAAATATTGTTATTGATTTCTAGAGTTACACCTTTAACTCATAAGCATAAATAAAATAATTAAAAACATTTATATAGATACGGAACTAGTACTACCCATATATAATATGCATTCTTATTTTCCCCTCACAAATTTTCGCAAAAAAGTGCACATTATACATGGCAAAATACAGTAAGTTGAAAAATTCATAAAATAATAAGCAATTAAAAATAAAAGTATTAATCACACAATTATAAACGTTCAAAGCCAACAGGTAAGCAAAATGGGATGCAAATGGCTGATCTTTGTAAACTCTGAAAAGTATAGGTATTAGTGGAAATTAAATTAGGGGTCTTTTAAAAACAGCAGAGAATTTCTTGTAGACACATGATTTAGTAACTTATTCTTAATTGTTGAAAAATTCATTGTTCAAAATGAGGACATTTTAAAACTATTATTTGCCTAAAAATGTGAAAAAACATGGTCTCTTTAGATAGATTTATATTTTACTCTATTTTTGAATTATCAAATGTAAAGTTAGAAACTATACAATTATAAAAGTATAGCCTAGCAGTCAGCGACTGCAAACTCTACAAGTTAACTGATGCACGTGAAATAAACTAGTAAACTGAACTCAGTGGCTATCAGTTCTACCTACAGTTCTTAATTTCATTCACCAATTATTGTTCACTTTATCAAAATAAACAGACTTTTGTGGCTAATGACTAAGGCAAACCAGAATGGAAAGTTTAAAATTTAAACAGGTATAGTCTTCACCTACTCACATTGTGTTTTAAAAACACCAATCCCTGTGACCACAACCAGCTAATCCATTTTTTCTTAAACAAAAAAAGGGTGGGGTGGGGGAAGTAATGAACATATCACATTAAAATAGAGTTTTCTATATAGTATCTACATTTTTACCATGTACTAATGAGCCATTAAAATTCAGAGTAGAATTTCACCAGGATACATTTATAAAAAATTTTTTCTTGAGTTGTTTTGAAATATAGTTGAGAAATATTCTGGAAGAAACTTGATTTTTACCAGAATAGGTTAATTTCATCCGGAACAAGTAATAACTCTGAGACTAAATATAGGTCATTGAAATGATTTATGGAAATGTATTTTCAAGAGAGAAAAACAAGTAACATGAAAAATTATAACAGTGAATTCTAGAAACACATTTCAAGTAGGCATCTGAATGGGGGAAAGCTAGATCTGATATAAAATCTTATTTTTTAAGTACTTCAGTTCTTTTGTCACTTAATTCTACTATGAAAACCATAACCTGTTATTAGAGACTTCATTATTAAAACTATGATAAAGTGGAATCTAAAGAACAGAATAAATGAACAAACAAAATAGAAACAGACTCATAGATAGACAACAAACTGATGGTTACCACATGGGAGGGGGGTTGGGAGGATGGGTGAGAAAGGTGAAGGGATTAAGAAGTACAAATTGGTAGTTACAAAATAGTCATGAGAATGTGAAATACGGTATGGGGAATATAGTTGATAACGTAAAAACTATGTATGATGTCAGATCGGTACTAGGCTTATCAGGGGGATCACTTCATAAATTATATAAATGCCTAACCACTGCGCTGTACACCTGAAACTAATATAAAATAATACTGAATGTCAGCCATAAATATATAAAAATATATAAATATAAATATATAAATACAAATGTGTGTGTATATATATATATATATATATATATAGTCACAGAATGTAAAGTACAGCATAGGGAATCTAGTCAATGGTATTGTGACAGCTATGTACTGTGTCAGAGCGGTAGTAGATTTGTTGGGGTTATCACTTTGTGAGGTATGTAAAATGTCTAATCATTGTTGTTTTGTACACTTGAAACTAATAAAAAAACTGTGATAAAAATGAAAGCAAAGAGATGTATCTGTTTATGGGAAAAGAATGATTTTGTTTACTTTCAGAATTGACCTTGCGCAAAACCTATATAGGAAGCTATATAGGAACCGGGAAACAATTCTGTTCTCTTCTTAAAACATCTCAGATTTGGAAAACTCATCATAACTATAGGACGAGACAAATTCCCACTCTGGACTGTTAACCCTCATTCTAGTGAAATTTTACCCACACAAACCAGTTTGGGTTAACTGGACCAAAAATGTTCAAATTAAACAGAACGCCAGCGTTCGTGGAGGAAGGAGGGTATAGTGGTTAAGACCACACAGACAGCGGAGCACCAGAAAGAAGCGACGTCTAGTGTCTGCCTTCTTACCTCTCACCTTGTCACCTCAAGCAGTTCCTGAAACCCTCGGAGGCTTACTGTTGCTGTGTGGAAAACATGACAAAAACAACCTACTTCATGGATTGTTGTGAGTTAAATAAGAAACATATACACAACATTTAGTATAGAATGTCTGGCACATGGCAGCACTCAGCAAGTGGCAGCTACTACTTGCTCTTCACTTGTTTTAGCAAAACAGGCTATATGATTTTAACCTAGGATGTGTGCGCTTATGCTAATACTGTACAAAAACAACATAACTATTAAAGAAGGATAAGTTAAGAGTAAGCTTTTCAGTGACAGCGCCTCCAATGTACAAAAGATGACTCACATTCGTTAAGGGTGATGAAAATACTGAGATCAATGCTAAAAAGGCTGAGCCAGTTTCACCTCCCCGTGGGGAGCTTGGCATTGAGATGGACAACTAACGGTTTAAAATCCTTCCTGTTCTAAAATGGCCAAGAATAAAAGGTACATATCATGTAAGAAAATGACAGTAGTGTCGAGCAATAAAACCACAGGGAGGAATGGTCTAAACGTAACAGGAAGTATTTCTTCAAGGAAACCACAGGAAAGCCAAATTCACTCTTCAGATAGGTCCAAACAACCAGAGTCCCTATTTCATACAACTCACAGAGCTAAACCTAAGCCAATTTGTTTCATCATGCTTATTCCGAGAAAGTCAAAATATTAACTGTTATCTGTGACTGTGGAGTACACAAAAGGTGTCTGATTCTACTATAGTTTTAAACTCTATACCACATGTGAAAAAAAAAGAAGGAGGAATTCAGTTTGCTTTGATAACGTGTAGAGAGAACACTGCAGAGACTGAGCTGGGCCTGCAACCAGCCACCTGGCGGGGGCATGTCCTTCAGTTCCTCGCGACTTCACTTTACTGCTGGGTAACATGAGGACGTGGGGCTAGGAGAGCAAGGCATTGCAACCTTGCATCCCGGGGGGATTTTGCTGAGAGCATACTGTGTTCCAGAAGTTTTAAATCTGAAGGGCAAGGACTCTCCAGGCTCCCCACGATTTTCTGCCGCTTCCTGCCTCCCATCCACCGCTTCCTGAGGTGATGGCAACCTGCATGGCCCCTGCAGACAGGAGAGTGAAGCACAGCCTCTAGAGCCCTGTCCCACTCTGCCGTCATATGGTCGTACCACTTACTGTCAACTTCCCAACAGTGTTGTTTAAGTCACTATGATATTGAACTAGATAATAAAATACATTTGAAAATTAACTATCATTAACCTCTAGGACTGTGAATAATCTATCTTGTAAATAGAGTCAATTACTGTATGTATTATTAATGGTCTTTGAAAAACTAAGCAAAATGCAACTTTACTTCTGCCTTATGAGTAGGTCTGATATTAAGTCTTTTAAAGAACCTCCATACTCTGATTTCTGCAAAGAAGCACACAATAGTATAATACATATATTCCAAAATAATTCTAAGCAAATTCATGTGTTTGAAACTATTTTTGTGAAATGTCCCTAATGCCATGAAAGCAATGATGTAAAAATGATCTCTAGAATGAGGATATTAGAGGACACAATTCTCTAAAATGGGACAGGATAGGAAAGAGGAGGTAATTTTCCATTGTCATCGTATCTAACTTCCACTGTCAAGCACATTACCCTGGGCTTCACGTCATACAGGCCTTGCTCAGAGTTAGGGTATCGCAGCAGAAGAGGACCAACATGAACAGAAGTACACATACTAACTTTACGAGTCAGTGGATGGCAGCTCTCTCCCACTTTGCCCATCGGTGTGCAAATCCTTATGCTCTTAACCCAAATACTGACAGCACAGCACATGCCTCCACCACATTGGGGGTCCTTTTCGCAAGCCTGAAATGAAATAAACAGAGAAATACAGATAGCTGGGAAGACTCAGGCTAAGGAAATCTAAAATTAGCAATAAAAAAATGTGCTCTAAATATCCAACTACTACGATATTAATCACACATATAAAAAACTGTAATCTCCATTTTGCTTGTACATGTTTACCATAAAAACTAATCAGAACAGATTTTCCTAGTTTTAAAAAAATAGCCTAAAAAAACGGCCCACAAGTTACGAAATCTTAAGTAAACACAAGATTTTTAAAAATCAGCTCTCTTTTTCTAATGTTTTGTAGCTGAATTGGCTTTGAATTTGAAGAATGAGTCTATATTATTCTTACATGGCCATTAGGAACCCCATAAATTAAGTCACAAGATTTTATGACTATTAACTGCAGAATATATTGGGTCCAATTTTAAAAAGGGATTTAAATGGTCTCCATGTCTGGCATGAAAAGCTTCAGACCCATAAAGGCACTGATGTAAATTTTAGAAGCGCTTGTTTTCCCTTTCAAATATTTGCATTTTGGTTTATGAGACTTGATGTTTCTCACATCACTGACTTGATTTTCACCATTTCCTCTTTAAAGAAAGAAATCTCATAGGTTGAGAATGGACAGAGCAAAACTTTGCCTTAATTTTTTTTTTCCAGTGAGTAACCTGCAAAAAGATCATTACTGGCTTAGGATATACATTATGTGTACATTACAAACTCAGCTGAACTACTCTATCAGATCCATCAGATCAGGAAATGCAATTATCAACACCTGAGCCTAATATAAAAATTGTAAATAGATATAATAATTAAAGAACCAACTATGGACGAATTTCCATACTTTAGTAAACAGAAATAAATAATAAAGTCTAAATTTATTTGCATGAAAATAGATCTAAAGAGCTATTGTTCTTTCCTAGAATCAACAAAAAATAGGGTGATTTGTTTGAATGGTATGCAGTAATCTGTTTGGCTAACGATAAGATAAAAACATCCTGTGCTATATGTGTAACAAACTAAAAAGTCTATAATTTAGGCACAAGCTTAAATGTATATTTATTGGAAACAACTAAGGCACTCCTTCAAAGTTCTTAGTTTTGGGGGTAGCCATAACTTCTTAAAACAAATATATGGGCACACTCTTATTCATTATTTTTCATTAAAAATGACCAACTATCTTGCTTTGGAGTTGATTTACTTCCCCCACTAGATCCCCCCCCCCAGTCTATTTAAAACAAGTATCTGGACAGAAGACAGTTTTCACCTTGCAGTGTTTGGACATTAATAGGAAAATGTCTAAACATTTGCATTTCCCACTTGTATCTGTATGCCAGAAATCACGAATCCATGGCCACTGCGTTCCATACATCTTTTCCAATACAGTTTTAACAAATCGATATGAACATATAAATCATTTTTTAAATGATAACATATATTACCAAAAAATTAAATGTTTAAGGTGGCAGTTTCAGGCAGTATTTTATTTCAACAGATGCTCAAGACATCAAATTCTGAAGCTCCACCAGCTCTTTTTATAAGACAATCAAAATCCAGCCAAAACTTTTAAAATTCAATCAATCACTTGGATGTTTAACATCCTATAGACAGTATATCTAGATAAGTTAGTTTTTTATTTAACTCCAGATGGTTCCTGTCATGGAGACATAACTACATTTCTTTATTGCCATGTTGCTTTAGAGAATTTAAGAAAAATTCTCTTTTTCTAACAGTGAGTTAAAATGACAACAAAACAGCACACACAACTATATAACAAGCCCAGTCTAAATCTCTCTAATAGATAAACATCAAATGTGATAAAAGTTTCATTCTGTAACAAGAAGCTTCAGGTCTTGGAAATATTTACAAAGAAGTGCATAGGTTCATATATTTTTAATTAGACAGCTGTTTCCTAATGCCTTTCATCCTTAACCCATTGCAGATCTATTCAAACTGTGTTGTCCTGTGAATGGAACAAAAAGATACTTATATTGCAAAAGAATTTTGGGCTCAGCGGATTAGGAGACATTTAAAATGAGTCAGCAGGGGAAGAGAGGAAAAAAACAAGCATGTTTCAATCCTCATGTATTAGAAAAAATGTGAAAACTTTTTTTCAACCGCACCAGCTCTGGCTACTGATAAAACTACTCAAATACATTTTGTAAAAAAAACAAAAAACAAAACACAACTCTATAAACTATTCTAATAAATATCACAACACTTATAATTAAGTGTCTCTTGGATAGAACCAAATACTGTTACAGCACAGAGCTTACAATGTGACCTAAGGCTATTAATTGACATGGAGACAATAGAGCTTATTTTTTTAAGACAATGATATCTCCCTTAGATGTAAATGTTATTTCATTGTCTATGTAACATTCAAAATAGAAGTTTTATTTAAATCCTATAAAGTGCACTTAGATATTTGAAGTGATTTAATGGAGGGGTAAAATCATTTCAGACTTGGAAAAAGAGTAAAGCAGTTGACCAGTCAGGACATTAGAGCGGTTTTGCACTGTTGATGTAAAATAGACCAGACTTAAATTTTGTGCTGTAAATTCATCCTTCGGATCCACACAAAGAAAACTGTTGGTGGGAGTAGGAGAAAACTGAACTAGTTCCTACTTCCAAAAATGATGAAGATGTCTTCTCGAAGTGGAAACATTGACATGGCCACCTACTCCGTAGTTATGCCGAAGCACTGGAGGTGCTTTTATCAGGAATTGGAAACGGAAAACTTAAACTCAAGACGCTGGAAAAAAATTAAATAAAATAAAAAAGCCCTGGAACCCAGAAGGAAGCGCACACATTGCTTTTCAAAGCGCACACATGGCCTCGGACCAAGTTATTTCAAAGGGTTTCTGCGGAGGATGCGCGGGGGGCAAACTCCTCCGCTTCAGGATTGGGGGATTCGCCTTGCCTCTTCGCATGTCAGGAAGGGGCCCTCAGATTTTAAGGTTCCAAGCTGGAACGTCTTGAAAAAGTGCTTGAGAGGACTTCAAAAGAAAACTTCTTTCAGCTGAATAGAAAAACAGACCAAACAAGAAGAGAGGTTGTGGGGATAAGGGAGAAAGAAGCGGGTAAAAGGTGGTGATAAAAGGTCATGGGGGGACGCTTTGGTCGCTTTTTCTTCCAGGGCGCGCCCAATGTCCCGCGCCGTCTGCTGCTTTTGGAGCAGGGCACTTTTCTAAGTGCGCCAAGGGGCGACTGAAACAGATGGCCCCGCTCGGAGCGACCCTCCCCGTGTCCCTCACCTCCCCTTCCCCGCTGCTGGGCGCATCGCGGGCGCGCCTGGGGCAGACAGGTGCGCCCGGGCCGCTTACCCCGGTGATGACGGCGGCGTCCCCGGCGGGAGGCGTGAGCAGCAGCAGCGGCAGCAGGAGCAGGAGCAGCAGCGGGGCGCTGCGCGGGCTCCTCATGGCGCCCTCGGGACTGGCGGCAGTTGGGGGCCGTTGGGGGCGCGGGGCCGGAGCGCTCGCTGGAGCGCCGAGCAGCGGGCTGGCGGGCGGCTACCGTGAGCCTCCCGGCGGTTATAAAGGCGAGCACGGCCGTGACTCATGCCCGCGCCTGCCCGTCAGCCCGCGCGGGGGGCACTGCGCGGGCACACCCCCACGCCCCACGCCCCACTCGCACGCGCGCGCCCACCGGGGCCCGCCGGCTTCCGAGACGACACGTGCCGCCGCTCTGCGCCCCGCGCCCCCGCCTCGGGCGCCACGCAGGCAGCGCCCCCCGCGCGGCTCCCCGCTCCCCGCCATTCTCTGGGCGAGACTCGCCGCCGCTGCCTTTCGCACGCGCAGGAATCGCCTTTGTAGACTGAGACACAATCGTTTGGTGTCCTGGTTTCCAAAGCTCCACGTGTTCAGCGCCAACAAAACTTGCAGTTCATTTGTTCCACAGATGTTTACGGAGCGCCTACTACGTGCCAGGCTGTGGACACATCGGGGGGAGGGGGACACAGGAGCCTCTGAATTCGTTGGTTTATTCAGCAGGTCTTTACAGAGCTCCCGCTGTACGCCAGGTACTCCCGCCGGGTCTGTCCTCATGGTCCAGTAACTGAAAAGACAGACATCAAACGAATGAACTGGAATCATGGAACACAGGGAAAAAGAACAAAGGGAGAGCAAAGTCACCCCTAATACCACATCCCTGATGACATTGAGGGGTTTGTCCTTCCAGCTGTGGGAGGCCAATTTATTTCTTTCATTTTAAATGCTTTCCCTTTAATGCTCACATCTGTTCCCGACACTCTCCTCTCTGATTTTTCTCACATGCATTTCATTCCTTCTTTAGCATCGGGCCAGCTTCAGGCAGAGCGGTTCTGGATGCTGCAAAGGGGAATGAGAACGCCTGACTTTGCGTGCCAACCTGAGGGCCCTGAAGCCTAGGTAGACAGCTCTCTCATCTGTTACTTTCCAGCCCAGGAAAATCACCCTTCAGTCTTACAAGATGCCAGACGGCGCTACTGTGATTAATTCACTTGTGCTCCCTGGGTTCGAGGCCACCCATAAGAGGAAGAGTCAAATTTGCCCTCCGTCTCTGACCCCAGCTTAGTTCCAAGAATCTCAGCTTGTTTCTCCTCAACGAATATGATTTTGAGAATACCTAGGTGTGACCACACCAAACTTGCTTGTGCTGAACTTTTGGAAGCCCAACTTTCTTCCAAAATCGTCAGAACCTCAGGCTTTCCCTGGTCCCTTACGGACCACAAGCTGTTGAAAAGCAGATGTGTCTTTCAGCCTCTTTAATAAATCCAGTGAGGAGAGTGGGGACAAACTTAATTTCAGACTGTGGGGCTCCCCCATGCCAAAGCATTTAGACTAAATGTGTGTGTGTGTGGAGGGCGGGGGGAAGCAGGCAATTTTCTGAACGTTAAACAGCTGAATATTTGGAAAAACCAAATCTTTGATTTTTTTAAACGCTTTTTAACCTGTGTTTTCGTGTTTGAGAAATGTCCTGAAACAAGCAAACAAACAAAAGAATCAAACTTTTTTTAACTTCTACAAAATTATTGAAATTGGACTCAGTAAAATAAGTGGAAACAGTAGCAAGTGACAGATTGGTGGAAAGTTTCCTTTTCCGGTTTCCATGCCAACGCTAGCATGGGAATGCTGCTGGGTAAATGTAAAAACCAGTCAACATAGATTTTAACATTCCTACAACTTTTTTAAAAATGGTCTATTTCATATTTGCTACAATTGAATGCCAGCTTGAGTATTCCCTGTCTCTCCAAGCATAGAAATAGGATATGTCTACATAGGAAAATCAGGTTTCAAAAGTGGATGGCTTCATACATGGCTGTTTGGAAAACAACCCTCATAAGGCTGTTTTGAAGCAAGGTTGGAAACACTTAAAAATAGGGCTGGTTTGGTTTCATGTTGTTTCTTTTGATCATGTTTCTTTTAATTGTTTTAATGCTTGAGAGGAGAAATGAAGGCCCCTGATGCAAATCTTTGCATCCATGGCTACATTAGAAAATTGAAGTCTGAAAGTTAGTTCCATTTTATAAAGAGAAAGATAGAAGGTTGAGTTTGGATTAGTTCATAAAAATGTTAGGTAAGAAGGCCAACCTACCAACAATGAAATAGAAATTGAAAAGTAGCTCATCTATTCTATTCTGTTTCTTAATGCAGACTGTTGATATTGCCACATGATCAGGATAACTGCATGAAGAGAACCCGACTTTGTGCAGCTCAGCGTGTATACTGCCATATTCTAGAAGGCCATCAAGGCTCAGCTGAACTGTAGGGGCAGTGCAGAAAGTCCATAGGACCCCGTGTTTGTGAATCAGACTGACCTGGGGGAATCCTCAGTGACCACTGGACAAGTTACTTAACCTCTCTAAGTCTCTGTTTCCTCAGCTATAAAATGGATATAAAATACCTACTGCATGGGTGGCTGCCTCCATGGGTTTAAAGAGTGTAATACCTGTGAAGTGGTCAGCGCAGTGCCTAGAACAGACTGAGAGCCCTGTTAGGGTGGCCACTTATCAAGTCTTACCATTTGGTGTTCGACAAATTCAGCCAACACTGATACAGTCATTTTTGTGTTGCCCACTGGGTAAGATGGCATACTCCTTGAGATTAGGATCTTGTGTCTAATTTCCCACACACCCCTCTTGGCATAGCACAGTGATGGGCATATTAGCCGGCACTCAGTAATTAATTGATGATCATCAGGAATATACCCTGTGGAGGGCAGTCCAGAGACAGGTCACAAGCAAATGATATATAGTATAGACACGTTTAATTTAACTGAATTCATTAAATATGGTCATCAAAAAGCTAGAGGGATAGACCTTACCTGGTGCCGGTGATTCACCTGTCATTCTGCTCAGTGGACATGTGACTGAAATGGGTCAACTGGGAGACACAGAGCTATCTCACTGTGGTCACTCTGGGACCCAGGGTGGTGAAGTCTCCTTGTCAACATGTGCTTCGTGACTGCCAGTGCGGGTGATGTAGTGGCTTAAATTGTGTCCCCCGAAAAGCTAAATTCAAGTCCTAACCCTGGCTCTTACGATTGTGACCTTATTCGGTAGTAGGGTCTTTATAGATATAATCAGTTTAAAATGAGGTCATATTGGATTAGGGTGCACCCTAAATCTAATGACTGGTGTCTTTGTAAGAGAAAAGAGAGGGAGGTTTGGCGCGCGCGTGCGCGCGCGCGCGCACACTCACACACACACACACACACACAAGCATACCATGTGAAGATGTAGGCAGAGATGGGAGTGATGTGTCTACAAGCCAGGGATTGCCAGCAGCCACCAGAGCTGGAAGAGGCAAGGAGGGGCCCTCCCCTTGAGCCTCCTGAGGGAGCGTGGCTTTGTTGGCACATTGATTTCAAATTTCTAGCCTCAGAACTGTGAGAGAATACATTTCGGTTACTGTAAGCCCCCCAGGTGTGGTAATTTCTTACGGCAGCCACAGGAAACAAGCACAGGTGGGCGGGGCTGAGGATTGCACACAGAGCTTTCCCGTGCCTCTGCCTGGAATTGATGCACTCACTTCTGCTCGTGTCATGTGACTGAGTCTGCCTTCAAGGGGATGGACAATGTAAGTCTGCAGTACACTCTGGTTCTTAAGAGAATCAGAAAGCTAGGGAATAATGCCATATTTTACAGGAGTAAATCATGGCTTAGATTTGTTAATTAGCATAATGATCTTATATGATATTAGCAATGATTATAAATCATAATATAGTATTTCCTATGTGTTTTCTTAGTTCAGTATTCCTTATACTAGAATTATTCAAAGACTCTGAAAGTCAGTAGTTGATTAAGATGATATTTTCTTTCATGTGGGTATTAAACCATCATTAATTCAACAGATATTTGCTAAGTACTTGCTGTGACCAGATGTTGAGGGAGGCAGTAGAGGTACAATAGTGAGCAAAACAGACATGAAGCCAGCCCCCTGGAAGTGGACATGAATCAAACAATCATACAATTACATAATTATGGGACTCCTGCTTTAGATGATAAAGAAGAAAAGTCTGGAGTTTCTCTACTGCTTCTCAGGACACGTTTGTTACCAGTAAATATGTTATGGCCTGTACTTTCAATGTTCTCTCTAGTTCATTAATGTAATTCACCTGCTTTCTAAGTTTGGGAATTTGCTCCAAGTTCCGGCTTCCTGAGGGACCACTAGCACATTTACCTTGTTACATGTACTTTCATTTCAATTGCCTGTTGTGCTCAACAAATATGGACTGTGAGGGAGAAGGGCAATACATGTGTGTTTGGTCTGCCATCTTGAACTGGAAGCCTGAAACATTGTCTCAACCATAGAAATGAAGAGAGCTTTTATTATTGCTGTTATACAAAGCTCTAGTTTCAAAAGTGATTCCAGCTTGGTTGAGGACTTATTTGTGCATCTTCTTCATATGACTTCTAATTATTACTGCGTAATAAGTGAGCCTGATAATTTTATACCTAGGTCCCATTTGTCTTTGTGTAAATTATTTTCATTTAGATGGGTTCAAAAAGGTAAAATAGATATTCTGCTTGATTTTTCACCCTTCGTCCTTTATCGCTGTGCTATTACACAGTGGCTTTTACACAGTGGCTTTTCTTGTTAACAAACCCCTAATATCAGTCTGAAATATATTTTAAAAATAACCATGCTTTAAATGTGACATATTAAAAATGGAATTGCTTTTGTAGTTATAAATAAGACATATATTTTAATTTATTTCAATGCTATGATTTCTCTTTATTTTTAAAAATAAATCACTATGCTTCAATTTGAAAGCCAATTGTCTTGAAGGCACTTTATTTGGTCTATTCAAGTGATAATGTACAATAATAAAGTTTACCTATTTTTAAATAATTGAAATATAAATCCAGGAGAAAGTGTTTTTTTAGAACAATTAGTATAAAATGCATTTGAAAGAACATGAAGGGTCAGGATGAACACTGGGTTCTAAGAGATTTAGGTTTTATTCATTATAATGCTGAATGTATTTAATATTTATTTTCGACATTGCAGATGGGCCTTAAGACTAAGGTTTATATACCA